TATGCAATTGGAATGATTGTGACTTTCAAAAAATATGTGCCAAATTATACAGGCGTGATTATTGGATGGGATAAAAGATATAATTTACGAGATCTATCTAATCCAGAACTGAAGATAATCGATATGTTAGAATTTAATTGTGTGTTACAACCATTTTACTTTATTCTTAGTGAAGACGGTAATAAGTATTATGCTCCCGAAGGTACAAATAGATTACTAGATGTGCTTGTGTATACACATGTACTTTTATGATGTCATTTATATGCGTATAAGTGCGATAAAAATATTTTTCTATTTTAGATTCTTTAATAGAGACGTGTCCACCAAGATGGATTGAGCACAACGAGATTGGCCGATATTTTTGTAGATTTGCAAGGACCCATTATGTACCTAACGAAGTATTAAAAAGACAGTATATGTTCGACGAACTTGTTCTCGACGGGCTTTAATAAAGAAAAATGGTTTATTATCTACACCTTTAGTCTTTTTTGCTAAAATACTATTGTAATTAAAAATTGTAAAGCACGCTTTTCATTAAACAAATCATTATAAAATAATCTCATCATAACTAATTAAAAAAAAAAAAAATTGCGATATTTTAGTCACTGAACGTTTATTTATGATACAGAGGAAGAAATCTAGTACGAAGAGATTGTTTTAAAAATAAGAAAATTGTGATGATTATTATAAAACAATATTTTTCTAAACAATGTATATATTTTTTATAAGGAGAAAAAATTAAACTTGTACATAAATATATTTAATAAATATATATTTTATGTACATTACAAAGCGCGATTTACTTTTTATATTTAAAAGAATCTTATTAAAGTGATTTCAGCAAAACTTAACTTTAACAAAACTTAATCAGCGATTAATTCTTCCAATTTTATGTCTATTTCTATTTTGTATCAATTTAATCTCAGTTTAACTTGTTTTTTATCTTTTTGTTTTAAGAATTATTTAAAAAATAGATAAGGATGAAACTAAGATTGAAATTAATAGATACTGATAAATAAGTGTTTTTGATTAAAACAAAAAATAAATAGAGAATTATCATTTTCTAACTTACCGACATCAAAAACTTAAAAATTAAAAAAAATAGAACTTACACGAGACGATTTTTCTTCTCAAAATAAATTCTACGTATAAGAATACATGAACATATGTACAAAATAACAGGAAAATCGGAGATAGTTTTCTTACGAATGTATTTAAAATATATCAAACCCATGATCACGTGATAAGAGGCAGCCATCAGAAGCCATGACGTCGAAATGTATACATTTCTAAAAACACCGTCATGATACTCGTTAACACGCGTTATATCTTATATACAGAAGAAAATATAAATAATTCAGACAGAGGATACGTATTTCCAGAAAAAAAAAGGTGAAAGAAGAAAAGATAGTACAATCCAAACGGAACAGGCATTGATAACGGAAGAAGAAACGAGCACTTGTGACTATTCATTTTGATTCTCGCATCTTGACACACGTATATACCCAGATTTGTTGAAGACATGTTTTGTAAAGTTGTTTGATATAAATTATTTTGACAGAATACCAGCAGAAATGCAACAGGATCTGTGTAAAATGTGATGGTAGATTGATTGTAGAAATCGAGTAGAATCTGTTATTTCGTAATCATTAGCTGGCGGTGACCAAGTTACTCGAAATTTGATGAGTATTTATTAATTTTAATCTTCTAAAGTTCATACATTCTCTATACATTGCAAGGGTCTCAAAAATGAAATTTAAAAACTGTTGCCTTTTTCCTATTTTATTTATGTATTATATTTATGTACGGAGCGATTTTTTTATTATCTAATAAAGATGGATCAAGAATAATCCAGAGTATGGTCAATGTGATGCTACAAATGCTTTAAAGCGTTTTTATATTAGTCAATTTATAAAATTCTTTCTTTTGATTGATTCATTAAACATTTGTAGTGAAACTTTGACTACAGCCTCAGTCAGTCTTGCAAAGTTTCTTTGTAAATATATCTAAGTAGTGAATTGTATGTATTTTTGATCTCTCTTCGAGATATAATGTCTCCTTTAAAGTTTTAAACAATACATAAAAACTTTATCAATATCGATTTATTAAGGATCTGACAAAATTAATATGGAGATAATAAATGACAGTTATACAATTTAAGTTTTAATTATTTTATGCAATATATATATATCTCTCCCAGGGCAGAATTGAATTGAATCATAAATTATCGGTGTTGAATAAAAAATAATATTCTATTTGAATGGTTATAGAATGACAGATTCTGTTGACAATCTGCTATCAGATTATTCTACTGACAGAATATAAGCTGTAATGTATAGGTATTCGTAATATGTCATTTGTTCTAACATTC